GTGCCACCCCAAAGGACAGGTGCCCTCCTACAGGACAGGTGTCACCCCATATGCCACTACTATGGGACAGGTGCCACCCTCAGGTGACAGATGCCACACATGGGACACCCCATGGCACAGGTGGCACCTTATGTGCCACCGCTACGGGACAGGAGCCGCTCCATGTGCCACCCTGTGGGACAAGTGCCATTTTTTGGGACAGGTGCCACCCCACGGCACAGGTGGCACCCTCAGGGGACAGGTGCCACCCTACGTTCCACAACTACAGGACAGGTGCCACTCCCATGGCACAGGTGCCACCCCCATGTGCCACCACTATGGGACAGGTGCCACCCTCACAGGACAGGTGCCACCCCAGGTGCCACCCCACGGCACAGGTGCCACCACAAAGGACAGCTGCCATTCTTTGGGACAGGTGCCACCCTCAGGTGACAGATGCCACCCCAGGTACCACCCCACGGCACAGGTACCACCCCACGGCACAGGTGCCACCCTCACAGGACAGGTGCCACCCCAAAGGACAGGTGGCATTTTTTGGGACAGGTGCCACCCTCACGGGACAGATGCCACCCCCGGTGCCACCGCGGCGCCGTGCCCTCACCGCGGCGCGTGCTGCCGCAGCCCCTCGGGCGGGTACAGCGGGTACTGGTGCGCCCGGAACTCGGCGTTGGCACCGATGCCCGGCCACGTCTCCTCCGTCGGGGTCCCTGGGGGCACGGGGGGTCAGGGCCCGCGCCCCGAGATGGCCCCAAAAACCCAGAACTGTCCCAAAAACCCCAAATTTTCCTGGGTTTGACCCAAAAAATACCCAGATTTGCCCCAAAAAACCCAGATTTACCCCAAAAACCCAGAATTGCCCCAAAAAACCCAGATTTACCCCAAAAAAACCCGAATTTTTCCTGGGTTTGCCCAAAAAAACCCCAGATTTGCCCCAAAAAACCCCCAGATATGCCCCAAAAAACCCAGATTTGCCCCAAAAAACCCCAAATTTTCCTGGGTTTGCCCCAAAACCCCCAGATTTGCCCCAAAAAAAACAGAATTGTCCCCAAAACCCCAGAATTGTCCCAAAAAAACCCAGAAATTGTCCCCAAAAAACCCCAAATTTTCCTGCGTTTGCCCCAAAAAACCCCCAGATTTGCCCCCAAAACCCCAGAATTGTCCCAAAACCCCCAGAATTGTCCCCAAAAAAACCCAGATTTGCCCCAAAAAACCCCAAATTTTCCTGGGTTTGCCCCAAAAACCCCC